AAAAATAGACAGAAAAGTATAATAAATGTCCATGTGCCTATGACCCAACCTCAACAATCATCAATCCAAGCCCAATCCTGGCCTATTCTGCTCACATTATCTGATGCAAATCCCACATAATATTTTTTGTGCTTATTTCAGAATTTATCTCTAAAAGGATTTTTAAAAAACCATAATCATTATACCATTATCCAGACCTAAAAAAAAATGAACAATAGTTCTTAGTATCATTGAAAATCATACTTCCAACTATCTCATATGTAAACTTTTAAACAATTTAAAAATCATAATTGATCCAAAGTCCATAGAGTACAACTGGTTGATATGTCTTGTACATCTTTTTTAATCAGAGGTTCTCCTGCTACCTTTTGATTTCCCTTGCAATTTATTTGTTGAAAAAACTGTTCTTGGCAGTGTAGCTTTCCCCATATTCTGAATGTTGCTAACTATATTCCCAAGGTATAGTAGAACATGTTCCTCTATCTCCTTCCCATAAGTTGGTAATTGGCTTTAGAAGCTTGATCAAACTTAGTACCAATTTTGTTAGCAAAGTTATTTCATAGGTGATACTGTGTCTTTACATTAGAAGAAATATGTCTGATTGTCTCTACTTTTATGATACTATCAGCATTGATGTTCAATGCCTAGATCCAATAGTTCATTATAGGTTCCAAAATGCTAATAGTCTATCATTCTTCATTAATTCACTGAATACTTTAATTAAGAAAAATATTCCTTATTGTAAGAACTGTTCTTATAGTAAGGAAGGCAGGATAAATGCTTCTTTTCTTTTACATGTATGTTTTCCAAATAAGTTAGTTCTCTAGTAGTTCCCAGGGATGAACAATTTGCTATTGGTATCATTGAGAATTTATAGAATTATGCATATTTTATGTGTTGTAAAACATTGCAATTATGTATATAGATCCTTTGACTAGAGTCTCTTCCAATTGGTTCCTCTTCCCTGACTACTGTATCTAAAATTACCTCATTCTCCCATCATAATTCTCCATATTCTTACCCTATTCACTTTTGTTCATAATACTTAGTCACTTTGTGATATTTGGTAATCCATTTGTTTATTACATGACTTTCCTACTACAAAGTAAACTCCATGAAAAGAGGGCAATGAAGAAATATATGCATAAAAGGCAAAATACAAAAGATGGGCTACAAAGAAATTAGATCCAAAATACAGGTAAAATGGTTGTCATTAGGGAAGAAAGCTTTCCCCCATGGAAATGGGAGGGAAATATGGAGTGAAGAAACAAGTGGTAAATGGAAGTATAGGTGAAATTTCTTTGGTGGCTCATGCTGAGATCTAAGTTTTCTTCCCATGTTTCAGGTCTTCATAATTGACATCTAAGGGGTGTTTCCTTCCCAACCAGCAGGACTGTGCCATGCCATAATGGCTTACCTTGGCCTGATTAGCACTTACTCACCTAGGCTCCATCTCTTTTTCTCATCCCTCACAACCATCCAGGGTTCCTTCCCTTGCTCTATTAGGGTAATCACATGTGGCTTAGAAATGGAACATCCTGCATGAGAAAAAAAAAAAATAAAGGAATATAATACAGAAAGTACTTACTTGATCAAGCCTCAGAGTAATAGGATTGAGAAACATTATTATCAGAGTTACTTCAGGATCACAAGGGCTAACAAGAACAGAGAGGTAGTAACGTCATCTTATTTTAAACTCACACAGGCTATCTCTTGAGAAGTTAATGATTGAGAGCACTTGTTTCAAATCCTCCCTGTTACCTAGATCACTAAGGCCTCAGTTTTCTCAGTTGTAAAAAGGGAACAATAATAATATCTACCCATAATATTATTGTAAGGTTTGATTTAATAAACATAAAGTGCTTGGGTGAGTCCCTAGTACTTCATAGGCACTATGTATGTGTATTAGATACTATTTTAGCTTTTTTTTTTTTTTGCTAAGAGGAAAATAGTTTCTTGCCAGGCTATTCATCCAATGTCAAATGCAAAGTTCATAAATCAAAAGATAATATGTCTGTTGTAGTAAATTGAATGTGTTCACCTGAGCTTTAATAGTTGATTCAATCTATCATATTCATTGCACAAGCTTTTTCAATAGGTATATAGAGCCACACACCTGTCTTCCTACTCATACCACAGGTGAGTAGCAGATAATAGACCTTCAATGGCAGTTTGAAACCAGATTTCTTTTACAATGGTCTTGCTGTGCCTGAGAATTTACATCCAGCTGTCATTAAAGAGAAACAATTACAGAAAAGGCAAAGGAGGGCCGGCCGAGTGGCGCGATGGTTAAGAGCTCGCTTGGGATGCCAGAGGGCCCCGGTTCGGATCCCACATATGAGGGCCAGTGACACTGCCCNTTTCTTCACGTGTGATCATCCTTCCAAATATCTTACACTTACAAATATCTCCATTACCACTCATTCTCTACATAGTCATGAGTGAACTTTCTCCCAGTTTCACAACTAAGGTAATGAAAAGTTCTACTTATTTAACGTCATTTGAGTTTATGTAACTATACATATCTATGTTACAAATATTCAACCTGTTCATTATTATTTCCTTAAAGTCCTCATAGCCAATGCCATTTGGGTACTTCCTAGACAGTATTTTAGTGATGCTTCAGGCAAAGCAACAGTCTTATACCACAGTAACATGCTAATAAAATTTTGGGCAAAGAGGAGTTCAATACTTTTAAAAACTCATAATAAAGGCATATTTTTAATAAGCCCAAACTGGAAAGAATCCGAGTGTTCATCAACAGAAGAATGGCTAAGTAAGGCTAAGTAAATTATGTCACTGATACAACACAATACTGTCCAGCAATGAGAATGAATAATCTACAAGTACACACAACACGAATCAATCTTACAAACATAATGGTGAGTAAACAAAACCAGACATATATACTGTACATATATACTGTATATATAAAAGAATATGATTCCATTTTTCATAAAGCCCAAAAACCGTAAGACTAATCTATGGTGTTGTTAAAAGTCAGTACAGTGGTTACCTTTGGTGGGAAGGAATGACTGGAAGGAGAGAGGGAGCTTCTGATATACCAGTAAAGCTCTATTTCTGAATCTGAATCTAATTATATGAGTGTGATCACTTTGGGAAAATTCAGTAAGCTGTATACGTATGATTTCTGTACTTTTGTATTTACATTTCAATAAGTTTATTTTAAAAGGCTATACTAAAATGACACTAAAAGGCAACAATAAATAATGTGGATGAAATGTGAGCAGAGACAGGTAAATGAATGGCTTAGGAAACCTGTACCTGTCTTCCTCCCTCCCTCCTTCTCTCTGTGCCCCCATTTGTCTGTCTGTCTCTATCTCCCCACACAAGAAAGCAATACAAAACTATGGCAATTTTGTAAAACTTTTTGGGAAAAAGTCAATTCAAGGCCTCATTAAGACAGATATGATANTCCCTAACTTCATCATTATGTTCTATCATTAGCATTTTTTTTTTTTTAGCTGAGCCATCCTGCCACCTGTTGGCAGCTCAGCGGTAGCTGAGCTCGGACCGGGCATCAAACTGCTGTTGCTCAGAGCTTGCACTCTTGAGCGAGCTCTTAATCAACTGAGCCACTCAGCTGGCCCTCTCATTAGCATTTTTCATTGTAATAAATCCTTTATTGAATGTTTTTGCTTTACTACGTAATAGTCCATTTTATAAATATCTTAGACTTAATGATTATATTTAGATATTTCTATACTTTTAAATATATTAAATTATGTTGAGAAATTAGATTACACAAAATCTCTAAAGCTGCAATGTCCAATATGCTAGCTTAGACACATGTGGTTACTGAGCAGTTGAATTGTGGCTAGTCCATATTTAGATGTGCTGTTAAATATAAAATACACACCAGATACTGATGACTTCTGAAAGAAAAAGAACGTAAAATATCTCAATAATTTTTATCTTGATTACACTTTGAAATGATTAATATTTTAGCTATATTGGGTTAAATAAAAGATTAAAATGAATTGCACATTTCTTTTTACTTTCTTAAATGTTACTAAAAAGTTTAAGATCGTATGTCTTGCATATTACTCTATACTTTTTATGAGACTGACATGCTGCCTACTGCACGAAGAAGGCACTAATTCTATATTACTTTTATGTGACTACTGGAAAATTTTAAATTATATATGTGGCTCACGTTATAATTCTTTTGCACAGTGCTGCTCTAAAGTGTTCTCTAGTCCTGAGCATCTCAGATCAAATATCTCCCTCTCAGAACTTCATTTCTGCTTTACCTCTGTTCTAGACAATGACTGAATATAGGGCTGGCCAAGTGGCTTGCTGGTTAAAACTTGGCTTGGGAGCGCAAGCTCTGAGCAGCAGGGCTGCCGGTTGGGATCCCACATGGGCCAGTGACGCTGCGCCCTCTACAGCTAAGATGGTGAACAACAGCTCAACCTGGAGCTGGGCTGCCGTGAGTCACCGGTGACGGTGTAGGCTGCAGTGGGTCTGCAGTGGGCTGCCGTGAGCTACCGTGAGTGGCCAGCAGCCAGCGTGAAGGGTCAGCAGCTGGTGTGAGCTGCTGTGAGCCGCCATCCAATGGCTGGCGACTGATCTGCCTCAGCCGGGAAGACCGCAATGATCACAATATCAACATGGGCCAGTGAAGCGATGTCCTCCACAACTAGACTGAAGAACCAAAGGACAGCAACTTGCCTGTTCCCCTTCCTCGATTCCCCAATGCTGTTCCCTCCTCCAATTCCCCAATAAAATCTTAAAAAGAAAGACTGAACATACAGGAGATGCTGAAGAATTTGGTCACTTCACACATGGATATTGGATGGAAAAGAGGGGCACACAGGATGGGCCTGGGCTGCTGGGCTCCATCCCTCATTAGAATGAGAGAGACAGGGGAGAAGCTGCTGGATGATGCTCTATTAGGAAGCTTCAGGATAACTAATGAGAATGTTCCCATAACCTGAAAACAATTATAAGCATTTCAAAGAGAAACACCAACTTACATGAGCCATGATTTTAAAGTTGCAAGAACCGGTCAGTTTTTCACAAGGGTCATTCACTGGAGAAGCTGAGTCCACAGAAGCCAGACCTGAAGGAAGAATGTGAAACCTTAACAGAACTGTCTCAGAGCTCCACATTTTCAAGACCCACACTGCTTCTCCATTCCTACATGCAACACCCCTTTATCCCCCAACACACAGACAAGTTATGACAGTGAAAGGTAGTTTAGACAAACATATGTCCTCCTCAAAACCAAGGGAAATCAAATGCACAAGGACTAACGAAGAGTAGAAACTTTCTGCATAGAAACACATGTCCAGACACTTTAGCAGGAGGGCATCTAGTTGGTCCCCCACTATAGGGAAGCAGATCTGGACCTAAGAAAGGGCAGTTCAGACCTGTCCTGAGCATATCCATCTCCTTCCATTCCCACCTCCCTAACCTGAGAAGTGGCTACACCATCTAAACCAAAACTCCCTTTTGAGACTCAAGAATCTGGCTGGCCTCTCTAAAACCAGAAGATGGAAAATAGTATAGGCAAAAATTCCATCTGCAGATCTTTAAAATACAAAGATGCCTGGTCCCCATACCCCAAACATTCTGATTTAATTAGTATAGTGTGACCTGGGAATCAGGCTTCTTAAAACCTATGATTTTATAAAATCTCCCCCAGGTGATCATAACTGGCAACAAAGTTTGCTAATCAACCTTTGCATTCATTAGAATCACCTGGCGGGCTTATTAAAACACAGTTTGCAGGGCCTTACTCCTAGAGTTTGGCATTTGGTAGGTTTGGGGTTAGGCTTAAGAATTTGCATTTCTGGGGCCGGCCGAGTGGCGCAATGGTTAAGAACTGGCTTGGGATGCCAGAGGGCCCAGGTTCGGATCCCACATATGAGGGCCAGTGACACTGCCCTCCACAGCTAAGATGCTTAACGACAGCTCAACCTGGAGCTGGGCTGCTGTGAGTCGCCGGCGACAGCGTAGGCTGCAGCCCCTACTGTAGTGGGTTGCCATGGGCTACCGTATGTAGCCAGCGGCCAGCAGCTGCAGTGAGTGGCCGTCTAGAAGCCGGCGACTGATCTGCCTCACCCGGGAAGAGTGCAATGATGGTGCCAACTTGGGCCAGTGAAGCAACGTCCTCCACAACTAGACTGAAGAACAAAAAAGACAGCAATTTGTGTGTTCCCCTTCCCCAATTCCCCAGTGCTGTTCCCATACCCCCAATTCCCCAATAAAAAAAAAAAGAAGAATTTGCATTTCTAAAATATTCATAAGTGATACTGATGCTATTGGTCCAGATGTCACAATTTGAGAACCACTTGCATAAACCATGCCTAGCAGTCTTCATCATGGAAAAACTATACTTGCACACTGGGATCCTGTCCCCCAGGCTGAACTACCATTCCCACAATCCTCAGAGCTTACCATTCACCATTTTGCTGTTTAGAATCATCAAAATTACCTGCACAATCTCATTTACCAACCCATCTCTCTTGGTACCCAGGCTGGGGAAAAGTGAATTTGTTAAATCCGAGCATGGATAACTCTTTACAAAGTAAAAATAACTTATTGGATGAGATTCACTAGTAACTAAGGAGATGCATATTAAAGGAACTGGTTTCACAGATTTGAAAATTGATGATACCTCATATTCTTAAGGTTGTAGGGAAATGGACACTCATGGTATAATTTAGAAAGAATGAAATGATGTGTAGAAGTATTTTTAATGGGACCAAAAAAGCCAAAAAGAACTCAAATATCCTTCAACAAGGTTAAATAAATTATTGCGTATTCACACAATGGAAAACTAAACACCCACAAAAATGAAGGTAAAATTCTTATTTGATGTCATAGAAAAGACGGTCACTACATATTACTAGGGGCAGAATACAGGCTATAAAATAGTACTGTAGTGTAATTCTATTTTTGGCAGGAAAACTATATATCTATGTAAATGCACATGCATAAAATAGTCTGTGAATGGACTTGGAATAAAACTTTATTGTTTTACCACTACTTGATGATATCCCAGGTGATCTCTGTTTTGTTCTTTGGAGCCTCTTAATTGTTTAATCAAAAATTTTAAAATTTCTATCAGTTATACTTGGGATATTAAAAATAGCTCTGTAAGAATATCATTACAGGGCCAGATGAGTGGCGCGTTGGTTAAGAGTTGGCTTGGGACGCCAGTTTTGAGCAGCAGGGCCCTGGTTCGGATCCCACATGCGGGCCAGTGTCGCTGCACCCTCTACAGCTAAGATGGTGAACAACAGCTTGACCTGGAGCTGGGCTGCCATGAGTCGCCCGCAAAAGTGTAGGCTGCAGAGGGGCAGCAGTGAGCTGCCGAGAGCTACCGTGAGTGACTGGCAGCTGGCGTGAGCTTCCGTGGGCTGCCATGATCCACCATGAGCGGCTGTCCAATGGCCAGCAAGCAACTGCCTCAGCCGGGAAGAGCACAATGATAATACCAACATGGGCCAGTGAAGTGGCATTCTCCATTCTCCACAACTAGACTGAAGAACAAAAAGGACAGCAACTTGTCTGTTCCCCTCCCCCGATTCCCCAATAAAATCTTTAAAAATAAATAAATAAATAAATAAATAAATAGTTCTCAATATTACATTACACCTTTTTTTATGACTGTTTATAAACATAATTGACATTTCAGTCAATGAAGGACTGTATGTATATACAATGGAGGTCTGATAGATTATAATGGAGCCGAAAAATTTCTATCACCTAGTGACATCATAGCTATTATGTCATATGCAGCGCATTACAAAAGTACCTACCATTGTGTTATAATTGCCTATAGTATTTAGTACAGTAACATGCTGTACAGGTTTGTAACCTAAGAGCTGTAGAACAGAACTTGTCACCCCAAAATATGTCTATCTGGCATAAGGATTATTTAAGGCTGGTTAATTTTAAGAAACAGCAAACATGGAAGAAGCTCTAAAAACCAAGTAGAAGTTTACCCTTTGTAAAAGATATTTACATTTGTAAAGGAAATCTCCATTTGTTAAGGATGTTATCTCTAGAAACTCTTATCAATGCAGAAAACAAAGACTTAAATCTGCAGAACCACCTCTGATTACTATGTTTTCCAGGCAACCTCCCATAACTGACTCCCCCCAACATCTTTTGTCTTTTGCTGAAGATGGTATTTAAGGTTGTGGCTTTAACCATTTTGGCAAGTTACTCAGTTTTCTTGGGTCTGTCCAATGTATACAGGATGTATACATGTTATTAAACTTTTGTTTGTTTTTCTCCTGTTAATCTGTCTTTTGTTACAGGGATGTCTCAGCCAAGAACCCAGAAGGGTAGAGGGAAAATCATTTCGCCTACTTTACAGGGCAATAGGCTGAATCATACAGCCGAGGTGTGTAGTCAGGCTACACCATACAGATTTGTGCAAGTGCACTCTGAGATATTCATATAACAAAATCACCTAATGGCCCATGACTGCATTATAATTCTGATTTTACAGATGAAACTGCAACACAGAAAGATTGTTCACACTCATTCAGATTTAAGTGGCAGTCAGGATTCAAACCCTTTTGGGGCCGGCCAGGTGGCTTAGTTAGTTAGAGTGTGAGCTCTGAGCAACAAGGCCATTGGTTCAATTCCCACATGGCCCAGTGAGCTGCGCCCAAGCTGAGCTGCTGCTGAGCTGCCAACAGGTGGCAGGATGGCTCAGCTGGTGAGAGCACAAGCTCTTAAAAACTAGGTTGCCGGTTCTGCATGGGATGGTGGGCTGCGCACCTGCGCACCCCCCGACTCCCTGCAACTAGATTGAAAGCGGCGACTGGACTTGGAGCTGAGCTTGTGCCCTCCACAACTATGATTCAAGGACAACAACTTGACTTGGCTCTAATGGGTCCTGAAAAAACACAATGTTCCTTTTCCCCAATTCCCCAACACTGTTCTCTTCCCCAATTTCCCAATTAAAAAAAAATTTAAAAAGAAACCTTAAAAAAAAAGGAAAAAAAAAAGGATTCAAACCCTCTTAATCTAGGTTCAAAATTTTTAGCCACTACTAATATACACCTTTCTGTCTATCCAAAGGCATATCCAAAACAAACTCATGCTACAAACTTTTAGTTCTCAGATGAGTAAGTCCTGAAGACCTAATATACAGCATTTGCTTTTGATAATAATGTATTATATATTTGAAATTTGCTGAGAGTAGATCTTAAGTATTCTCACATCAAAAAAGAAATGGTAACAATGGGAAGTGATGAACATGTTAATTAGTCTGACTGCAGTATCATTGCATTTCACAATGTATACATATATAAATCATGTTTTACACCCCAATATATACAATTTTTAATTTGTCGAAAATAAGCTGTGGGGGGAAAAAGAGGTTCCACTGTAAGTAACCTCACAGGGTATTCTTATCATAAATTCCTAACTGGGCAGGTCAAGGTGAACGGTCGCACCCCCGGCATATAACTTTTTAGTAAAAGGTTTACCTTTGCCATTAGCAAGCCCTGTCCATTGTTTCTGTGCAAGATTATTAGCAAGAGGGCATTTAATCTTGTGAACTATCCTGTAATTCAATCCTCACCTTGCTTTCTCCCACCTCCTCTTAATCTTGTAAATTCCCTCCTTAATATCGGATGCATAAAAGAAACTGCAAAACTGCTATTCTCTGGAGCATCTGAGAACTCACTCCCTAGCATACGTCATCCTCAGTTTGGCTCAACTAAACTCTAATACAATTCTAAAGGTATGGACTTACATCGACATAATAAAGCAAACTCCTTAGGAAAAACAGTGCTCAGAGCAACTGAATATATAGCACATGGTTAACTACCTGTAAAAAGGCATTAAGTGGACACTAGTAAAAGAAATCTAAGAATTAGGTCCCTGCCACGGACTAAGCAGGGAAATCCTAAGGCCCAAATCAAAGAGTAGAATATTCTTAAGCTGGGCATTTCAACGAAAGGAAGTCAAAAAGCCCCGTCCTGAAAATCAAATGCATTTCACAGAAACAAAGAAGCAGCATAAATTCACACAGAACCTGGCTTTTAGAGACGCAGCAGCAATTCGTTTCACTTCAAAGGCCTACCCTGGAGA